GGTGATGGTTTTGGTCTATTTTCTGCTGCTGTAAAGAAATGTGAAGAAAAGAGACTTATTTCTTACCATTCTAGGGGCTGTGAAGTTTAAGTTCAAGATCCCATGTCTAGTGAGGACATTCATTCCCCGTTGGGAAGTAAGAATGCAAAAGAACACATGTGAAAGAAGCAAGAGGGTTCAGACTGGTTTTATTACAATCTACTCTAGCAATAATTAAACACTCCATGATAACAACACTAATCCATTGACAATAGTTCAGTCACTATGACTTAATCACTTTGTTAATACTGTTACATTAAATTAAATTTCAACATAAGTTTTGGAGGACACAGTCAAACCATAGCAGTGTTAGCAGTGAACTTTTCACATATGGTTTTTGTTGTGTAAGTTTCTTCTGTTTCTATTTCATTGAGAACTTTATTTATGAATTGATGTTGAAATTTGTTGAATCCCTTTTCTGTGTCTGTTGAGATAATCATGTGGTATTTTTCTTTCATTCTGTTGATATGTTTTATTATACTGAATGATTTCAGTACGTTGAGTCATTTATGCATCCCAAGGATAAACCCCCTTGATCATGGTGAAAGATCCTGTTAATGTGATTCTGAATTAGGTTTGGTAAAGAACTTTGCATCTATGTTCATTGGGAAAATTGGCTTGTCATTGCTTTTTTTTTTCTTTTTTGGTCGTGTCTTTGTTTTATGATGCTGACCTCATAAAATTAATTTGGAAGTATTCCCTCTTCTGTTTTGCAAAATGGTTTTAGAAAGATTAATTCTTTAAATATTTGGTAGAATTAATGCATGAGCTATCTGGATTTCTGGCTTTTATTTATTGGGAGTTTTTCTGATTATTCAATTTTATTTGTGATTGGTCTGTTTATTTGCTCTATTTCTCCTTGGTTCATCTAGTCAATTTTGTTTTTTCTGAAAATTTATTCATTTTTTCTAGGTTGTCTAGTTTGTTGGCATATATTCATCATGGTTTCTTATAGTCATTCTTCTCTCTATGACTTTTGTTGCAATGTCCCTTTTTATTTCTAATTTCAATTATTTGAGCTTTCTCTCTGTATATTCCATAGGCAGATCTCAGCTCATGAATTTTGTGCCTCAGCCTACTGAGTAACTGAGATTAAGGGACTTTACCACTGTGCTTCACTGTTTGGCTTTTTAACCACACTAATATCTTTGGCAGTGTATCTTCTTTGGCTACACTTTATCATGTACACTTTCACTGGCCAATTTGTAAGTTTTCTCAATCTTTTCATTCTGCTTCCTTTTGTTCCCCATTCTCACTGCAAATTCGGCTAAAAGCAGCCTGCCTGTGCTGTAGCCTAAATTATTTGCTACCCTGAAATTTCCCCCACAACATATACTAGTCCAGAGGACTCCTGAGAAGACAGTAGAAAAGTAAGTAGCAGAGCAAACTGCCTCTCTGAGAGTCACCGTGCAGACGCTGGAATATAGCATCATGAGGAAGACAGGAAGGAAGGAAGTGGGTTCTCTGGACCCAGGAAGAATCTGAGCTGTAAACTGAAGTCCACAGAGAGAATAAAAAGAAAAACTTCAAGGACGAAGAAGGCGTTGGAGGAACCTTCACCCTGAGATGGGACTCACCGCGTGAGAGGAGCTGTTTGATATGGTCACAGTGACAGTGATGGCTGGTGAACTCAAAAGTTGTCTGCAGGTAGACCTGGCAGCGTGGGGCGGGAAGTGGCAGATGTGGAGGACTGCACTGGCTGGTGGTGAGTGCAGAGGACTTAGTCTTCCTGCAGGGAGAAAGCAATTAGCCAGGAGGCATTTTGGAGATGGGTTGGATAAGCCCAGAATTCAGAACTGCTGCTGGATTCCTCTGGCAGCTCCCAGCTGGGCACAGACTCATGTAAATTGCTTGGACTGCTGGAAGTCCAATGAGTCTGGTCTTAGGGCAGGCCTGCTGAGATTATGCACTACTCTGCCATAGGGCAGCTGCTGGCTTGCTGGGATAAATCGGCACAATTCGGCACTCTGTCTCTACAGGTTGTGTACTAGTGAACCTAAAAAGAATCCGGGAAGTGGACTGTTTCATTTTCCTTTTTTTTTTCTTATTGTTTTTATATGAGTGTGAAAGTGGCTACTGACCTCTTTGTGGGTATGGTTCTGTTTTGTTCTTCCTTTTAACTCTTCCATCTCTCTTTTCCTTCAGTCTTCTGCACCAGTTTCCCCAAGTTGGTATGATCCCTCTTTGTCCTCTAACCCTACTTCTAATCTCTTTTTCTTCTTCCACCCCTGTTTTTCTCCCTAGTTCATTTTAAATTTTGAACTGTTGGCAAAACTGACACATTATAGACATATATTGCATATAATTATCTAGTTTCTTTTATGTCTCATTATACAATCACAAATCTAATTCATATAGTTATAGGTTGCAAATTAAGGATTATCTTAGTTTGTTGTTTTCTAGGCTGTGTTTGATGCTATTGGTACCACTATTGCCAAAATTGACATAATTGTTCTAAACAGCTGTTAATCCTGGTATTCCATGACTGAGATTAACTAAGGGTCACAGCAAATATGGTGGTAGAGTGCCAAATAACCAGGATAACAATAACCAGGATAACCAGTAACAAGCAACAATTTCTCATTTCCAATAAACTGAAGAGGTAAGATCTTCTGACAGACTCAAAACCCAAAAAGTAGCTACACCCGGAAGATCCCTCGGAGAAGTAATTATCACCTAAGGATCCTAAATACTAGCAATAAAGAAACTCACCATATGCAATTTACAAACATTACCCTAGGAATTAAACTAAAAAAAGAGATAAAATAAAATGAGAAGACACTTAAGCAAAATACAACTCCAGATGTCCAGTTCGCCGAAGGCAAATCCAGGAGCAATGTAGTGGGACAATCCAAAAGCCACCACCAGGTCGATCTGAAATGGAAACAGCAAAGCAATTGAATGAGGCTCTGGAAAAAATGAAATCAGAAATCATTTCAAATAACTACAGAGATTACCAAAATATACATCATGTTTAGTAACATTAGAGCAGACACAGACAAAAAAATAGACAAAGCTTAATAAAATTATGGAAGCTCAGCATAGGAGAGAAATGGAATCCATAAAGCAGATCCAAGCAGATATCCAGGGGAATAAAAACTCCATTGAAAGTATTTAAAGCAGATTATGCCAATGTGAGGAGAGGATCTCAGATATTGAAGACAGGCTTGCAGTTAGTGACCAGGAAAAGAAAGATTTCTCAAAAGTAGTAAGGGATCCTGAGCAGCTACTAGATGAGACAAAGAAGAATAACTTAAGAGTAATTGGAATCAATAAGCAGGAGATACTACAGATGATGTTAAAAAAATGTTCACAGACATCATGACAGAAATTTTCTTGGTAAAGAAAAAGAATTTGACATACAAATAGGTAAGGCATATAGAACTTCAATTAGCAATGATCAAAAAAATCTATAGCCAGGCATATCATAGTTAAGATTCCAGAAATTCAATGCAAGAATAGAATCCTAAAAGCTGTTAGAGAAAAGAAACAAATTACCTATAAAAGAAAGCCCATCAGAATTACAGCTGACTTCTCAGAACAAACTCAAGTCAAGGAGAGCTTGTACTGAAGTACTCAAAGTTCTAAAGGAAAACAACTTTCAACCCAGATTGATGTACCTCACATAATTATCTTTCAAAATTGAGGAGAAATAAGATACTTCCATGACAAAGAACATCTGAGAAAATTTCTGACCACCAAACCAGCACTCCAAATATTCTGAAGGGCATTCTAGAAAGAGATAATAGGACTACAGCTCCAGGAACCCTCAACAGAAGGAATCCACCAGGGAAGGCAAACAATTAGAGGAAGGGAAAAAAAGGAGGGGTGGGGAGAGCCAATAACATGACAAGGAGAAGTTAAAACATTTCAGTTATAACCATTAATATTAATGGTCTTAATTCACCAGTTGAAAGATGGACTAGCGGAATGGATCAAGAAGCAAAATGCAGCAATATGCTGTGTATATGAAACACATTTAATTCAAGAAGAAATTCGTAGACTGAAAGTCAAAGGATGGAAAATAATACTCCATGCAATGGGAACCCAAAAAGAAATAGGGGTAGCTTTCTATCTTTCTATTTGCAGACAAAGTGAATTTCAAGCCAAGACTAATTCAGAGAGATACATAAGATCACTAATCCTTGTAAAGGAAACAATCCAAGCAGAAGAAATAACAATTATAGGTATATATGTGACATAGGTATATATGTGAGTGCACTCAACTATATAAAACAATTACTAACAGATATGAAAAATGAAATAAGCCCTAATACAGTTGTATTGGGAGACTTCAATACTCCACAAAAAGTGGAGTATCACAAAAAGACAAATCAACTAGAAAAATCAATGAAATATTAGAACTAAAACTTTTGAACAAATGGACTTAATAGATGTCTATAGAGTATTCCACCTCATAGCATCAGAATATACATTCCTCTCAGTTGCACAAGGGACAGTCTTCAAAATAGACCACATACTGACTCATAGAACAGGCTTAATAAATTCAAGGGAATTGAAATTATCCCATGCATGCTATCAGACTATAGTGCAATGAAATTGGAAATCCATGCCAAAGGAAACCACAAGAACTTCGTAAACACATGGAAATTAAATACCATCATACTGAACAACCAATGGGTCACAGATGAAATTAAATAAATTAGACAGTTTTTACAATTGAATGATGATGATAATACAGTATACCAGAACTTGTGGGACACAATGAATGCAGTCTTAGAGGGAAGTTTACAGCAATAAATAACCAATATCAGTAAAACAGCAAGTGTATATAAACAAGTTAATGTTGAACCTCAAACTTCTAGGTATTCTCCTAGGTTAATGGGTATCTGGTATATATTTTAGTATAATTATGCTATTATATATTATACTATTAATACAAATTTAGAAATAGCATATATTACATGCCCCTAATACTTTCAATATTTTCATTTATGCAGTATAAGAAATGGCTTAGTTTTGATGGTTCTCGTATAGGAGTTCTTGAAAGATTTATAGCTGGTTCGTTAGCTGGTGCAACTGCCCAGACTTTTATTTACCCTATGGAGGTAAGTATTACTATAAAATTTTAACTAAGAGCATGCTTTTTGTGAAAATTACAACTTCTTATAAGTGAACTCCAGGTTAATATTTTATTAAAAATAGCTTTATAGCTACATATTTTATATGTAATTACTCTATAATTACATAAATATGTAATATTTGTGTAAAATATATGTAATATGTAAATATATGTAATTATCCTATAATTACATAAATAACAAAGTATTTAAAGGGTGACCAAAATTCAAGGTTAAAACCATAATACTTTGACTACTTAACCTGATTACAAATCTATCTAAAAATGGCATCAAATCATATTACAAGTATTATTACAAACACAGTCCTTTGCTTCTCACTAACTTTTAACAGGGCATGGAAGACTGAAAAATAGGGATCTCCTGCAATTCAAATACGCTCTTCCCTTCAAGTGAAAGGCTTCAGTTCATTTTTCTATTATCTTGTCTTTCTCAACAACATGGACTTCTTTGTTTCATCCTTGCAATCCTTAGCTCCTCTGGAGCCTGCTCTCTGACCAAATGTTTCAAATCACACTGCTGGATCTTTGCTCTTAATTTTAAACACTGATCTGGCCAAAAGCTCTCAACAGAAACCGTGCCACCACCCCAACAGTAGATTGCACTGAAAATTTTCTGTCACCCAGGTAATAACTCTAAACACAAGCAAAATGCAAACCAAGTTTCTTCCAAAGCTCAGTATGCTACCTGGGATCCAGCAGCTGATGTAGTCCTCCTTAGTAGAAGTCTTCTGAACGTCATCATAACTGGCAGCATTTCCAACAGTATTGTGATTTTTCAGGCTCCAATCAGAGTCTCCAATATAAAATTTGCAGCATATAGGGGCTGCCTCTTTGGCCAGTCTCTCAAAACCTTTCCAACTTAGTTTTCAAGGTTCTTAAGCCACATGGCCAGGCAACATCACAGCAATGACCTCACTCTCCTGGTACCAATTTAGTTGTGTTCGGGTTTGCAAGGGAAACAATTTAATATAAGACATATAATTTATAGGATTATTTTATAATAGTCACCAGAGAGTCAAATCCCCACCAAAAATGTGCAGGAATTCTGTCCATACACTAAAGACCCAAAGAATCCAGCTAACAGAGGTAGAGTATAGAGGAATGGAGCTAGACTCTGAGACATGATAAGTTCAGATTTGCATATATTTAATTTAGCCTTTGGTGAGACAACCAAGTTATGATTTTCAGTGGGCAGTTGCATATGTGTTACTGAGACTTCAGATTTCAATGTTTGTGTTTCATCTGCAGGAACTCAAAATATAAATAAAAAGCAAAATAAAAGATAGATAATTAGGCAATAGGGAGGTAGATCTTTTGCAAATGAGAGTGGAACCAAGAGATGAAGGGAGAAGAGCAAGAAGGGAAAGGGCATGAAAAAAAGGGGTTAAGATGCTTTGTGTACATGAAGAATATAAACATTAAGTACTGCAAATACATGCTAATAAAAACTACTGTGGAAAAAATTCTCCAAATAAAAATAGTAAAGAATTATTTGAAGCCATGGGTTTGCCTAAGGAAAATGTAGTGGGTTTTTTTTTTTATGTTGAGAAGACAACTTTTAAGAAAGATCTTAATTTAGAAAAAAGAGAAAAATTTGCCAGGGAAGCAGGCATAAAAGATTAACTTGGGTAAGAGGAAAGTGCATTGCCCTGGAGAGGATTGAGAATTTTAATAATGAGATTATCTGAACTGTCTGCTCCTTCTGAGAGGCCTGTGAAACCAAAGGGTTCCTACTGAGTGCAGAGGGGCAGCCTCATCATGTTACAGTTTCTCTCATCAAGACAGAAGTTACATGTTTTTCAGTGTTGGCTGTGTGGGAGAGCCATTTCTCCAAGCATGTGTAGAGCTCCCTTAAGTTAAATTACTAAAAATTAAGACTATAAGGAAGAGAGATTCTTATTAGGAGAATTTCACTGGGCTTGAGAACATTGAGCATTTAGAGCTAACTGGAGCCAACTCACGGTTTCTGGTATGTTACTATTTCATTAGCACAAATTGAGCCCAAATTATATTAAAATACAATTTACAAGCTGTAACAAAATAGTCCCAAGTTATACTTTTTAGCATATATAGATAGGTGCTTATTTTTCATATTGCCTCTTTCCTTTCATGTGACCTTTCATATACTTTCTTAAACTTGAGTTTTAGCTATGTTTACTTTGTAGAAATATTATCTCAAATTTGTTTCAGTACAACATGCCCTTATTGTACAGTAAAGGTGTTTGAGCAGATGTATCAATCAAAAACACAATAATTTTATTTCCTTGTTTGAATACTTATTAAAACTTCTGTAAGTAAGTTATAGTTATGGTTTATGGTGCTAGGGTTTGAACCCAAGGCCTCATGCATCTCAAGCAGGAACTCTACCAGTGAACTATGTGCCCAGCCCTCATTATAATTATGATTGCTTTATCTTTTTAATTTCTATAAAACTTGTAAATTTTATGATATAATAGTCCTCACTAGATTGCTGGATGATTTGGTTGAATCTAATCTATATACCTTTATTATGTTCTTTTACATGTAGGTAATAAAGACCAGACTCATTGTAGCCAAAAAGGGAGAGTATACTGGAGTAGTTGATTGTATCAGGAAGCTTCTGAAGCAAGGAGGTGTGAAAGTCTTTTTCAAAGGTTATGTTCCTAACCTGCTGGGCATCATACCTTACGCAGGCTTAGATCTTGCAGTTTATGAGGTGAGTTTACTCCAAAATATGATATTATGTGTTAGATTTAAAGATATGGTACAACAATGGTTTTGTATTCTAAAATATAAATGATCTTGCATGAAGCAGCTTCTGACCAAGAAGTGAAGTTGGTGCTTTAATTGGGCTTTTTGTTTTGTATGTTAGATATCTGATATTCTGATAATTTTTTTTAATTCTGTAAATTGGTTCTTGGTGATAATGATTATAGTCCTAAATTCTGATGTAATAGTAGTTATTAACTCTGAATGTATGTGTATAAGAATCACTGATGTGAAGGTTTTAAAAAATAGGATTCTTGGATTACATCCTGAAATATACTGGATTCTTAATTACTCCAGGAGAGGCCCAGGACTCAGATTAGAAAAGTCTAATATATGAGTGAGATTTAGAAAACTGAAATATTATTGTACAGCAGTGAAAATTAGAGTTGAAGAGAGGAATAATTAGGGGCTTGGGAGAGAGCCTACATGGAGATGGGGTAGAAATGCTGACGGTGAAGAACTCATCAGGCAGGATTCCAATGTACTTCATTTTGGGCCGGTCGTTTCATTCTTATTGATCATACATCTGTCTCAGGCAGACCATCTGAAGAATATTTATCATTTGGTCACAAGAGTCAGGTGCCAATGTGTAATTAAAATAATAGATTTATTCTTGATATGGAAATGAGTTTTCTTGAGATAGGCTTGCTAACATTTTTTTTGCAAGTAGTACTACTATTATATAAAAACAGCTAATTTATTTCATTTAGTAGTTTAACAAATGCAACTATATTTCAGTAAATATTTAAAATATTGAATATGATAGCACATATACCTTTTTGTTTCATGCTTTTGTAATACTACTAAAATTATTGCCACTGTTTATGTCTCTATAATTTTATTAATAGAGTTTAATATCTTTTTCATATCAGAGGGCATTACACATTTCTCTTTTTGTTGTTACATAACTATAAGTACATACTGAAGGAAGATGTCTTGAAATTTATGTTTTTAAAAGAATCATATTATATACTGGACAATTGTCCCTGAATATAACAGTAATGGTGCTTTAACTTTAATCCTATTATCCTTTCATAAATAAACAATTTTGAAATATTTAGTGATGTTTTATTTTAAATGTGTCCTATTTGTGAATAATTTTTCCAGTCACTTTTATTTAAGGATAAGCAAATTTGAAAAGATAATATTTGAAAGATAATATTTGAAAGTTGAGAAGGTGTGGATTTTTAAAATCCGAAGTAGATTGTGCTGTCCTCCTCTCTACAATATTTTGTTAAACACTCTAAGAACATCCAGAATTTTGCTGTAGTGTTTTGATTATCTTGAAAACCAAAATAAGCAAAATAAATAAATAAAGCCAAATAAGCAAGCAGAGGAAACAAAAACAAGCAATAAAGCACAATAAAACATACACAGAGACAGAAGTGTTTGAGAATTTGAAGCTCAGGTTATTTGCTTGGAAGCATCTATGTATCTAATCCTAATATGACAGCATGAATAGCACCCTGTACTAAACCTGCATTCTACTTAAAGTTGCATAATAGTTAATTTATTACTCTCCTCTCCATCAGCTTTTGAAGAATTATTGGCTAGAACATTATGCAGAAAACTCTGCAAATCCTGGGATAGCAATTTTGCTGGGCTGTAGTACATTGTCTCATACTTGTGGGCAGTTAGCAAGCTTCCCTCTGAATCTTATTAGAACTCGCATGCAGGCAGAAGGTGAGTTTTTTTTTTTTTAAAATGAAGTGATAATTAAGTTTAAAAGTATGTCTTAAGCATAATTAATGATTTTCCTATAATCAATAACCAAAAGTGAGTTTTGACTTTTTTTTGTCTTTTGGAGGCAGTGTTTCACTCTGCAGTTCAGACTGACTTTGAACTCACTTTGTAGCCCAGGTTGGCCTCAAACTTGCAGTGATCCTTCTGCCTCAGCCTCTTGCGTGCTGAAATTACAGTGTGTGCCACCACCCCTGGTGCAAATTCTGATTTAAAGCATGAAACTTGAATTTATTATTTTACTGATTAGAGCTTTTTGTGAATTACAGATTTTATTTCTTCTCTATAGTTCTATTTGGACTCTCCATATTTTCTTCAGTTACTAATTATCTGTTTAAGGAGTCCTTAATTTGTACCACGTAGAACTAAATAGAAGAGGTTTTGCCTTCTTTGAATTGAATCAACAATTACTTAACATGAATAGAGTTTTTCCTTGGTTCTGCTATCATTATCATAGTCCACATCAGGAACTTAATATACTTGTGGAATTGAACTTGATTATTTTGTATTTCAGTATATTTGGGGAGGAGATATTAAGTAGTAGAGAAGATATCTGGTTTCTTTTGTCCTCTCTGAGTAAAATGTTAGGGATTTAAATTTTAGGAAAATACCTTCAAGTCAGGTGTGGTGATACATGCCTATAATCCCAGCACTCTGGTGACTGAGGCAGGAGGATCGTGATGAGCTTGAGGCCAGCCTCAGATATGTAATGACTTCAAGACCAGCCTGAACTATGTAGCAAGATCCTGTCTCAAAAACAAATGGGGAAGGGGAAAAAAAAAGAAAATAGCTTCCTCACTTTGAAGAAGAGAAAAACCTCACATAATCCTTTTTTTTTTTATCTTCCTCAGAGAAGTATGTAGGAGTCATGTGCTAAGTGGTGTTCTTTTACATTTTCTTTCACCTTCTCTTTTTAATTATGCTTTCAAATTTAATTTATATTGCAATTAAAGTGGAGACGTTCTCCCATCACTCATCAATTATTCTTTCAAACTATAAATGTCATAACCAATTCTGAATGAGCCTTTGATATGTCTCATGAAAAACTTCTAAGTTGACCAGTAAAACTTTCTGCAATGATGGAAATATTTGCTGTATATACTGTCTCATACAGTAGTCATATGTAGCTATCAAATGGAGCTCAAGTGTTAGTTTAACTTTAATTAAATTTAAATAGCCATATATGTCTAGTAGCTATCATATTGAACAGTACAGGAGTGTTTTATATGTAGGGAGAAAGATACACTCTGAAGGAATTTCAATTTCTATAAATTCTCATTTTCACAGACTATTTTAGTATATAAATGTTAAATATTGAACTATACTGATTTTTTTTTAAATTTATAGCCCTGGTGGAAAAAGAAACGGTATCCATGAGTCAACTCATTCAAGAAATATACAACAAAGAAGGAAAAAGAGGATTTTTCAGGGGCATCACTCCTAACATCATAAAGGTGCTTCCTGCTGTAGGCATCGGCTGTGTGGTTTATGAAAAACTCAAACCATATTTTGGATTAACCTAGAAGTGAAACATCAAATTGTTATCATTGCCATAATCACTAAATTATAATTCCTAACGTATAAAGATTATCTTGTCCTAAAGGAAAGAAATATCAAGTAACTTTAAAAATATTGTCTCTTTATCTATTAGACAATATAGAAATTAAATAATAATTTTGGCAAAATTCTTAAGTAATTTTAAATCTTTAATATCTCTTTATATTTCCTGCTATTTTCTGTTGAATCCTAACTTAAAACTTGTTTTTGATTGGATTTGAATATACTGTAGAGTAACATTATAAAACATTTGGTTATAGTAGTTTGTTTTTTTAATACGGTATTTTTAAAACTTTTTTTTTTTTTTTGACACAAGGTCTCACTCTGTAGTTCAGGCTGACCTTGAACTCATGGCTATTCTCCTGCCTCAGCTTGTATAGGATTACAGGCATGTGCTACCATGTCCAGCTAAAAAATCTTTTTTAAAGCTGGATTTGAAAAGGTTTTAAATACTAAAAGAAAAATCAATGCTTTAAAAATTGATATTACAGTTAATCACTGGAGTTTATTTCATTTTAAGTGAAATGGAAAGCTAGTTTCCTACCTCCTTTTATCATGCTGTGATGCAATAGTGACAATTTAAAAAATTTTTTCTTGAAAATTTTATTTCTCAGTATAAACATTGTTCATATTGGCTCTTAATATTTTCAGTTTGTGTAAGGAAGTTGGCATTAAGAAAAAGTCAACATTAGACAATTTTCTTTTATCTTCTAGTTGAAACATTGGGAAAAAATTATTAAAATTAAATCCATTATTTCATATTTGTTAAAGCATGTCTTAAACTTTAAGGATTGGTTGAATTAATTCTTTGGCAAACTAAATAATTACTCCTAATATTTATTAAAAAAACCCCTCAATCTCTGTTGAAATTACTTTAAAGTGTGGTGCTACTGATAGACCCCCAAAGAAGAAATGCCATGCTAAACTAACTAGAATTCAGGTTTCGAATTTTTACTTTGCTGTTCTAAAAATTTGACTTTCTCAGTTTTCTTAAAATGATTAGTTTCTGAATGCTAAATTAACAAAAAATATAAGTCTAAGATAAAAATCACAATAGAAAATCACACATTTATTGTAGGACTTAATTCTTTTCATGAACCAAAATACTTGCAACTTTTCTCCAGTGTACATTGTTCCCTGGCATCAGTGTATCGAGGGAACCAATTAAGTAATGAGAAGATTAATGTGACATCAGAATAAAGACAGGAAAAAAATTTTTTGAGGAAATTTTTTACTCAAGACCATCCCAAGGTAAGAAGACTTGGAAACACTGTATATGAGAGATTGAGGCCTAAAATGGGATAGTGGAGAGAATTGTGAACTTGATCTAAACTAAGCCACAAAGTACCAGAAGAAAGAAAGGCAACTCTGTGAAGAATGTAATCTAAGAAATTTTTAAATTTTTTTTTATTTTAAAAAGGGTAAAACTAAACATAAAAAAACCAGAACAAAGCATATTAAGCAAAACAATGTAAGTGACACAGATTTCAAAGCAAGACAACAGGAGACCTACAGTGGCTACCACAATGTCTGTTGTTTTCTTCTAAATGGTGGTCTATATCTTCACATACAATGGCTTCATACAAAACAAAATAGTATAAAATTGATCAGAACAGAGTGATGAAGGCATTACAGGCCTTCAAAACCAGACAGTAGGAAAATTAACAATGGCTGCCATAATGTCTCTTGTTCTCTTCAAAATAGTTGTCCATACCTTCATGTATGTTGAAATAAAACAATGCAAAACAGACTAAAACCACTCTAAACAAAGAATAGAAGCACTTCTGGATTGCACACCATGACAATATGGAATCAGCAGTGGACATCATAATGTCTGTTTTTCTTCAAAGTAGCTATTCATTTCATCACACATAATATAATCGATTCTTGTAAACTGTTTAGGAGAAGTTCATAAGCCTCTACGTGTATACCTGTCCTTTTTTCAATAGAAGGAAAAACCAAACCAAACCAAACCAAACCAACCAAACCAAACAGATTAATAGAAAAATAAGAAGCATAAAAGACAAATAAATAACAATAAAGAGCCCAAAGCAGTGACGATATAGGCTTTCAAAACACGGTGGTAGGAATGGAATTAAGGTTGATATTTTACATAGTGATCTTCAAAAGTTCCTCAGGTCTTCAGACACAAACATGCAAAATTGTTTCAATCCTATGAATATTAACTGCTTTGTTCTACAAAATTATAGAATTTATAGCACAATCATCTTAGCTATCCTGTATTTATACAAATTTAGATTTTTCCAATCATTTTCCCCCTTCCTTTTCCCTGATATAATATTTTCTCCCCTTTGAACAGATTCTTACCCTTTCACTATATTTATTGAGGATTTTGTATCTTATGTACTCTTAGCATTTCTTACACTAGGGAGACAATACAATATTTAGTCATGTGATTTATTTCACTTAGGAGTATGGTCTCAAGTTGCATCTATTTACTTATAAATATCTCAATGTGACCATTCTTTATAGCTGAGTAGTACTCCATTGTATGAAAATATCACATCTTTTTTGTTTTAATTTTATTTAAGGAGAAAAAGAAAAAAGATGGAAAAGGGTACAAGTTATACAGAATTTCAGAAAAATAGTAGGAAATCACTAGTTAATAGATTACATATTGTCATCTTAGAAATCATTGTTCAAGTTACAAAATTAAAGCATATAAAGTGGACTTTTAAACAGTGAGACTGCAAACAGTTCTGTTCAGTGATCCAACAAAACTCAGTAATATGGCTATCTATCTAAGACATTTAAATATACATGCAGTTACATCCTTTAGAGCACTTTCTTTTCCTCTCCTTTGTACAATGACAATTACACATTTTGGGTTTTGTTACTCCCACAGTTCTTACTAGTTTTTTTTGAAGAGAGTAAAACCAAATGTGACATAACAAAACAGAGTCAGTCAAATAAAAAAGATGGGCATAATACATAATGTAAAACAAAATACAAGGTGATCAACAATGGTTACATACTGCCTCTTGCTATCTTAAAAAGAATTGCCTATACCATCAGTTATAATAAAATTGAACAAAACAGTAAAGAACAAAACCAATAAAACCAAAATACTGGAGACATTACAGGACTTCATAAGAAGATAATAGTCAACCAGAATGGGCATCATAATGAATCTTATTGTCTTCACAGTTGTTGCCTATACTTTCGAACTTGGTACTATCAAGCAAAACAGAATAGAGGAAAATCAGTCAAAAGATAGTGAGAGCAATACAGGATTTCAAATCAAGTTAATAGGAAATCAAAGTGGGTTACTATAATATATCCTGCTATTTTAAATTTATTTTTCCCTTAATTAAAAAGATAAAAAAGTAAATAATAAAAAAGGAGGTTGAGATAAAAGAGAGCATAACAACAAAACAGCGCAGGTCAAAACATAACCATTTAAGCAAAATAGTGTTTCACCACAAGATATCCTGACATAAAAGTAGTTACCACAGTGTCTCTTTCCTTGAAATCTTTGAGTATAACTTCTTATACTCTACCATCAAACATATCAAGACAATGTAAAACCATTCAAGAGAATGACAGTATTACAGGAGAATATCACATCTTTTTTATCCCATTCCTCAGTTGATGGGCAAGTATATTATTTCCAGGATCTGGCTATTACAAATTGTGCTGCTGTAAACATGGGTGCACATATATCACTGTGATATGATGTTTTCAGTTCTTCTGGGAATATGCACAGAAGTGGAATAGCTAGGTAAAATGGGACTTTCAATCCCAGCTTTTTGAGGAACCTCCAGACTGACCTCTACAGTGGTTGCAACCCATCTATGCTCCCAACAGTGTAGAAGAGTTCCTTTTCCTCCACAGCCTCTCCAGCATTTGTTGTTGGTTGTTTTCTTTATCCTGGCCATTCTTTCTGGAGTGAGAAGGAATCTCAGTGTGGTTTTAATTTGCATTTCTTTAATGTTCAATGATACTGAAAATTTTTTCATGTATTTATTTGCCATTTATATTTCTTTTTCTGAGAACTATGTATTCATCTGAGATACCCATTTTTGGATTGGGTTTTTGAATTTCGGGGGTGTGATTTTTTAAATTCTTTATATATTCTAGACAGAAGTCCTCTAGCTGAGGGATAATTGACTACGATGTTTTCAAAATTCATTGGTTTCCTTTTTACTCTGTTGGAGATTTCTTTTGACATGCAAAAACTTTTTAATAAGGTGAGATACCCGTTATTGATTATGGGAGGTATTTCCCATGTAGTTTGATTTTTGTTCATGAATTCTCTACCTACTCCTATTTCTTCAAGATTTCTACCTATTTGTCTTCCAACAGATTTAGTGTTTCTGTTTTAATATTTAGACTTTGATTCATTTTGACTTTAGCTTAATACATAGTAATAGGCATAGGTCTAGTTTTAGTTTTCAGTATAGGGAGTTCTTTTATAGCTTCCCAGAGTTGTTTCTTTACTTCAGTTGCTATCAGTTCAGAAGTTGCAGGTGTATGACTTATGTTTTGTTCTATGTCCACATCTCCTAGGCTTGCTTGGGATGCGCTGGAGGTTTAAGGTGGCATTTTGCTCTTTTGTTTTGTCATTTTCTGTATTACCTTAGGGAAGCTGAAGGCAAGTGTCAGTTGTTTCTTGGGTTGAGAATATCTATCCCTATTGTAGGGAGTTTCCCCAGTTGAGTGGAGGACCTTAGACAGACCTTACCAGATGGCTCCAGACACTTGAGGTCACCGGGCAGGACCTTACCAGTCTTAGAGTGAGGCACCAAAGCTTCCCCGTGGGCTGGAGAGCACTGCATGCACTTTCAGCTTGCCAGGCCAAAGGTAGGTAGCTGAAGTCAGCTGAAGAGTCCTTGGGCAGGGGCTGGATAGGCCCAGACACACTCCCAGGGCATCCTCTGGTTATGCGGGAGGCTGGACGGGGTCTTACCATCCTGTGAGCAATGCCCCAAAGCTTCCCCATGAGCTGCAGAGCACCGTGCACACTTTCAGCTTGCCAGGCAGAATGTCGGCAGTCCAGGAGTCCAGATCTAAGAAATTTTGATGATGGTGACAGTTGTGATGGTCAAATTTTAGAGATATTCCAATGTATTGAAATAGCTTAGGCAGCGATGTGAAAATGGGAAGTTTATGGAACTTTAGGGAATCTGCAAGTAGCCTGGTCACTTTTGAATGTATATGTATAGGATGATATAGTAAAATATGATAAGTTCTTGCTATATTTTGGATATGCTTGGTTTCTCAGGGCTTTGTGGGTTGGCATTTTAGTGTCTAGAGTGGTGATATTGAGAAGTAGCTGATTCTTTGGGAGGTGAGGCCTACTAGAGGAATTAGATCACTGAGGGTGCTGCTTTCAGAAGGGGTCAATGCTGGTCTCATAGAGCAAGATCTCCCCAAAGCAAGTTCTTATAAAAAATGAGCTAGAAGAGCCCTCTCTATTCTCTGGCTTTCTGTCTAGCCATGCAGTCTCTTCTCCATGTACTCTGACATCATTATGCTATCTGTCATAATGCACCAACCTGCGGACCAACAGATGGGATCACTCGATCTTTTAACCTTCAAAACTGTGAACTAAATTGACTCTTTTCTTTATAATTATAAAGTATCCAGACTCAGATATTTTGATGTAGAAATGGAAATAAATAGTATCATGACACAGACTTTGAACTGTACATAATAATGACCTGCTGTTGTATAAGAAAACAAATTTGCAACAGGATAGAGCAATTGAAAGAGGAAATAGCAGAGCTGGGGAAATGAATTAGTATGTTACCATGATAGA